CTGCGATATGGGATCTGCTGGCGATAGGGATCTCTTGGTGATATATCCTCAAATATGATAATACTTCATCAGCAACCATAGCAAACTGGCATACCTTATAAATCATAATAGCATACTAGGGATTATAATAGATAAACAGCTCTATCCTAATAACTTATGCTGGGGGATAAATAATAATAAATCTATTCTGCTGTTAATAGCTTATTAAATAGCTTCCTCCTATGCTAAATACTAATATTACCTGCCTCCTGAAACTATTTACTTCTAACCTATCTCTGCATCCTGCCCCCTTAAATCAACTTCTCCTGCTGGGTGGTGTGTTATCTGATTCGCTAGATGGCGCGCTCTTCCTAACTCGATAGGTCCATACGCGCCTAATCACTGACAACATGCTAATTTCCTCCTCATACAAAACAAACCTATTCCTCCTTTTATATGCATCAAGTACCTTTGAAAATATACCTCTGACTGGATCTACATTATAGCTTTTGATGCATCCTACTTTCGTTTATTTTGGGGCTGAAAATCACTATGAACTCTACTACCCTATTTTCAATGAACCCTACCCCATGCTTTTGCCGGCCCACTTTAATTTAGCTGGCCGTTTCAATGAGCTCTACTCAAGTTCATCGTGGACGTGAGGTTAGGATCGACACAAGCGCTACCCGCCAAGTCAGCCAAGCTTCCGGCACGGACTTGGAAAAGGGCAAGGCGGGGAGTTGGGGACAACTGACGTGGCCACAGAGCTTGAAGAGGTAAGGCTTTGAGCCTAGCGAGCACTCGCAGCCTTCGGGTGGATCCGGAGTTTGTTGTGGAGGGGAGTTGTCGGCACTGGCACTGGGTCCACTCTGGTTGCTTGCGTGGTCATCTTCGGAACGTTGGTGATCGTTGACTGTAGTTTCGGGATGTGATTTGTTGTCTTCGTCGAGCTCGAGTATAGGTGACAGTGCATCACGAACGTTGTCGGAAAGTATGTACCCGCGGTCAGGCATCGTGATGCGAAGTGTGCAGTCGAATAACTCGTAGGGATTGAGAATGTGGCAAATGGATGATCGAAAGCTGTCCGAGAAGCGGGTGCGGCAAAAAAGGAAATGGGAAAATACGACTGTCGGGACAGCGTTGGGGAAAAGAGAGTGGCGTTCATCTGGGGCTTCTGATTTTGGAACCAGATTTGAGCAGCCCTGAAGTCAGTGGAAAGCGTCGCCCAAGTTTCTGGAAAGTGCATAATACCGAGGAACCTGACTACCTTGAAGACGAAAGATGCATAACCGGGAAGGAGTGTTCAGTGGTAGCTGCCCTATGGTTTCGAAGTATCCGACAGAAGGCACTGTCTCGCGTGCTATTGCAACCTACGTGGCAGCTATTTCACAGTAAGGTTCTGGATGAGAAGGAGAGGTGTTGAAAGGCAGGAGTGACGTTGGGTTGAATTGAAAAGTGAGAGAAAGAAGACTGCACCAATCGGAGAGGGAGCATCCGACTGACGGGAGCATTCCGGAAAGCATGTCTCGCGACGCACAGGCAGCAACCCCTTTAAGCAGCTACACCAGCTCGTGGGGCCAGTCTCTATCCAGGTGCCGAGCTTCTGCCCCTTTCCCGTGTTGCACAGATCATGCTGAACTTCAAATCAGATAGATGCTGACTTGCCCGCCGTTGAGTTGTAGGAAACTATTGCCGCGGCTTCAGATGGGAGGCAGCTCCACAAAGATTAGTCTCAAAGGTAACGGCTATGGACCCAACCTGGGACCGAGCCCGGCACTGGACCCACTTTACCCGAACCTTGGACGGCTTAAGGTACACAGTAAGACGGAGCTGTGGGGCGTCGTGCACCGAATCGCGGCCGCCCGTCTGAGATTGCTGTTGCCGTCTCAATAACGCTCAAGGACCGCATTCTCAAAACCTTGTATCTGCAGAGTCTATGCCAATATCAATAGGAGTTATTTGCACTTAGCCGGCCGCAGCGATTTGAACCTTTATTCTGACAGACTCATGCGCTGTCGATAGAAAACCCACTGATGACGAAGTCGCACACGCAGGCATGGCAGGTAGCAAGATACCAGACCTGTCGATACCAATATCACCGAGTGTACGGGTGTCGAAGGCCACATACGACCACACCCATTGGAAAACTCGGGATCCCGTCCGCTCTCCCATAGACAAGCTAATGAGGGCTGGAGTAGTGGTTGGGTTGGTGACGACTGGCGAATGCCCGGTGTTGTATGTTATGGACCTTTTTGCTGCCTGACTTGTATGGTGAAGCCTGGTGTGGCCTGGCACTGCGACTGCAACGGACCGTCATCATCCTGTAAGACATGCAAAACACGTAGCTCCCTCGCACTCAGTGCCGAAAGCAATAAGAAGCCAGAATGTAGGGGTGGTGTACACACATGGATGGCAACCTGCTTTCCCCCTCAGTCACCATTGAGTTGCTGAGAACGACTAGTCAAAATGAGTCATCGGACTTCCGTGATGTTTGAAGGACGTTCCCGTCGAACGTCATGCATAATAGCCTAATTCACCACCCTGCCGAGCTTCACTCACTGAGGCGCTGCAAGGCCTGTCCCGTCTGCCATGAACGGCCTCGCAGCCGCGGTCGTAGCAGAGGGCGGATCTCTCCAATGCGACTTTCCCTCGCTTTCTGGCCGTTCGTCCGAACTTGCATCGGGTCATTTCACCAACGTAAATGGTGATATAAACTGCGTTGGGTCTTATCCTAGTTATAAGGCCTCAATCATCTTCAATTCTGCAACGCGTGGTATCAGCCAGCGGGCTCCCTCTCCTTAGCTTCCCAAGCTTCCATATTATCTGACCAACTGCATGATGCACTGGGTTGCTGAAGGCAGTCCAATGCTGGCGTTAGTCGGGTTTCATGACCCCCTGCTACAACAATCACCGTCAACAATCCTCATCACAATATATACGAAGTTACGTGTGGCCGACGGTCTCTTAAACGTAACAGAAACGGGGGCATCGTCCTTGACTAATGGTGGTATGGAATGAGTAGGCTTTAAAGCACAGATTCAATACAGCCCGCGGGTCATCCATACGTCTTGGAGTTATTTCAGGGGTCAATTCCCAAGTCTCAAACGAGTTGCATCTGGGGAGGTATGTGGAGGAGAGCGACTGTTCATTTTTGACGAATCGGAAGCCATTGACCGTCTTGTTGTCCTGTGCATGCGGTGATCAACATATGGCGACAAAAGCTTAGCCACGTGTTGCCTTCTTAAATCGGAGAAGAAGGTGGATGGCAGTGAATGGGTCATTAGCAGCGGGGAGGTATTGCCCGTGGGCCCTCCCGACATCACAAGTTTTGATTCGGAATATCGGATACGTCCAGGTTTTCTGGATAGTCAGTGAGTCACTGAATACTGCTGCACAGGCGGCGTGATTCCCCAGGTAAAATTGGAAAATGGCTGCTGTGTGGGGTTCGTTGCTCGGAAATTGCTTTGTCAGAAAGACGATGCACTTGTAGGTAGCTGCTCAAGTGCGTCCAAAGCTTGCATCGTTATAAATTGTGTGTAGCCAAATTGGCTCATCAGTGTAAGGAAAATTTCAAGATCGAACATTTGCTTGAGAGTGTCATCGCCGTTGCCATCGACAACCGCAGCCGTTGTGCTGACTGACAGAAGTGGCAAAAGCAACCCCCGAAGACATCGCCAGGGCACTTCCACACCAAAATGAATGATATTGACAAGGTAACAATATACTTCATTATGACGACTTGCGGAGTTATTGAAATTTCCACAAGTAGTATGTTATTCGTAAAGTCATGATAGCTCTGTGGCAGAGGGCAAGTGGCGCCGGTGAACCAAGTGGCCACCGCCGTTCTATTCACGTCCTGCTCAACAATCCAAGATCACACTACGCCCCCAGACTTTGTCAAGCGAAGAATGCCACAGCAGTTGAGGGCGTCACTGGTGAGGCAGATGGCTTGCAGAAACTCACTGGCTCAAATAAAGTAGCCGTTGAAATCCTGCCACGGATTGTATCGCTCGATACATTGGCATCTAATGCGTCTCAATTGAGGAATTTGTCTCTGGATAGAGGCCACCTGTACCTATCCCTATTTATGCCACTTCACCGTGGCGATGACGGTCAAGACTTCAATTAAGATCGCGCGCGCCCCGCCAACGGATAGTGCTCCAGCCGTCCCGAAAGTCAGGCGCTAGAACAAATACCGATTGCATAGTCTAGGCCTTCTCGGACCAGCTCGAGTCTGAGACACCTGCATGCCATTCGCGCCACGTTCGCAGCACGAAAGTGGCCCCCATTCTTTCAAAACCACATAGGAGTCGCCAACGACAGAAAGACGAGAGAACACTACCCCCTTGGACGCAGTTTTGCGGCCGCGCGAAGGAACATCGGCATTGGTTTATCAGGAAAGACCACAAGTGTGGCGACTCTGACTGGACGTTTCCGTCAAACCCAAGCAACCATGGGTTTTAAACAATGAAACTCATCCCACAGCTGCCGGCACACAGTTCCTTTGCTCCCTCCTCCTTGCTTTCTGACGCAAACTGAAAGATGCGATTCTCGCTCGTTATTCTGTTGATTACTGGGGCTGTCAGGCTGACTGTTGCATCTCCTTTCACCGATGCTTTGGCCATCGCCCCCGCCTGTGCTGTTCGTCAATCCGTCGGTCATCGTCGTGGAAGGCAACGTGTAGCCGATATTTATTAACGCCGCGGCAGGTCACATGCGCCATCACTGCCCTCCCGCAGTCTCCTTGCACGATCGAAAACACGACATGCCTGTGCACTAACTCAACATTCAACGGTCTTGTAGGAGAGTGCGTCCAGAAGGGCTGCACAATCAAGGAAGCTCTCAGTATGTCTTCGGTTCTTGCGCAACGTTTTCGTCTCCATCCAAAGGATCAATCGCCTAATATTCTCTTGCAGCTGTTCCAAAACCTGACGTGGTCAGCATGCGGGTTCCCTTCAACGGATAAGACGCATAGCGCAAGATACACGATAGGATACCTAATAATATTACCCGTTATTTTCATGGCTATTCGCCTGGCTAGTTGGGCCTTCCGTTTGATGCCATGGGGCGCTGAAGACACGACTGTCAGCCTGGCATTTGTATGTTTCATCACTTGAATCATCCTTTGGCCTCCCGATTTCTCATTCAATCAGATCCTACTCATACCCTTTCCCGCATTGGTCCTCATCAGTGAGTTTCTCAGTGGACAATCTTCATTGAAACTCAGGCTTACCTTTGCATCAGTGTTCTCCTACGGCCTCGGACGAGACATATGGGTTCTGCAACCGGATGAGGTGACTATGCTTCTGAAGGTAGCTTCATCTCCCCCTTTCAATCATTGAAGGACCTGAGAAGTAACAATCGGCACGAGCAGCTTGTTTTCATCATACAATTCTTTCACATAGTCAACCTCGCATTGATCAAAGCATCGATACTCTATCTTTATCTCCGAGTCTTCCACATGAGCTCTATTCGGACCGTCCTCTGGAGAACTCAAGTGTTCAACCTTATTATATGCACTTTGTTTGTGTTGCTCAGTAGTTTCCAGTGCCAACCTATACAACACTACTGGAACGGCTGGGATGGTGAGCATGCGGGTAAATGCCTCAGCCTACAGAATATTGTACTCACGCACGTCACCATCAATGTCTGCTTGGACGTGTGGATGCTCATTCTTCCACTCACACAGATATACAAACTCAAATTGCCGCTCAGGAGGAAAATTAGCGTGATGGCCATGTTCAGTCTTGGGATTTTGTAAGTCATTCGCATCTCTTCTTCCTGGATATGCCATCATTCTGACAATCCATAGCCTCACTATTGTCAGCATCATTCGGATCAAGAGCCTGCTAGACTTTGCGAAGACACCTGACATTACTAGTGAGTACCCCTGTTCAATAGCGTTCCACTGGGATAATAACAAATATCTCCACAGCTGAGTGTTACGAGCGGGTCAGGGCAACCAACTGTGGCACAAAGCAAAAGCTTCGCTAATGACAAATCCGCTGTCATTATCCCCTGTTCTGCATTATATAGTTACAATCCTACAGTGACCAACTGTAGCGGTCGTAACACTGAGTTACTTGAGGGTGTAATCTGGTCCCATATCGAGCTCTGCGTTGGAATTGCGGTCGCCTGCATGCCGGCTGCAAGACATCTGGCATGGAGGCTCTTCCTAAAGCTGCTGGAACTCAGTAGGCGCACGTTGTCAAAGTCCAGCAAGACGAAGCCTTCTGTGCATGTGGAGGAGCTTCAGCCTGTCGCTAAGGGTCGACGCTCACTGAAGTCCGACACTACGACGACCCTCCAGACAAACATGACCACAATGGTTGACACCAATACGCCAAATAGTGCACATTTCCCTTGAAAGCGTCCTTGCCGCAACATAGAAAGGTAGTTACAGGAAGAAAGAGGACACGCGGTTGAAGAGTTACATAGCATCATTCAATATCCAATGCCAGAGCACACACTGTGAGGCTTTAATAATTAATCGGACCGAGGGCAAAATCTATCTCACAAGCACCATTTACTGCAAGTTGAGGTTGGGAATGCGTACCTCAGAGTTTAAGAACCCAATAACTCCCAAACCTTACCACAGTGTCTGACAAGAAGTGACCCACAGAGGTTCACGGGTATGTTAATTTAGGCAACAGACACGGCGCATCTGCCTTCAAGAAACCCGCAAGCCCAGAGAGTGGAAGTTCAGCGCAGTTGCGTAACAAATTGTGGTAGAAATCCTGTAGCTGAGTATCCGATGGAGAATTGATTCCCGTCTGCGAAAGCGAGGCTCAGCGAAGCAGCTTTATTAAGGTGGGACGAGGAAAATCAAGGTAAAGTAAGGAGGCATGGCGACATGATATCGGATTCTTGAGTAGGGTATGGGCGAAGGTTAGTGCGAACCTGAAAACAGTGGAAAGCGCTTAGCTTCAGCTAATAACCCAGGGAGCTTCCGAGTTGCAATAGGCGGACAGGCTGAGAAACCGCCCACTGAACGAATTTCCAATCATCGACAACGTTTCTATAAGGCGTGGCCTAGTCAATTGGTCAGATGCACGTTCTGCACCAGCTAATCTATCGATGTAGTCGGACGACACGGCAGCTCATAACAGGCATCTCGTGAGATGATTGAATACATTTATATTCACACCAACCCCAAAACTATCTCTTTGCCGCAGGACTGTGTTAACGGAAAATTGTTTAATAGGTTAACGATCTTCTGACGATTGAATGTTGTAGTAAAGTGCTATCCTAGGTGTTAGATGTTTCCCCTTCAGGGTCACAATAGTCAAAAAGGTGCGGCTGCAGGTTGCAACCTGCCACACGAAAATACGGAAAAAGCAATTGAAGGGAAGTAGGAGTTCCAGCAAGCTGCGCGGGCGGTTTTACACAGCTAATACCCAGACACTCCCGTGGCTCAAGATGCGCTCAATCACAGCCATCACTGTTCTAGGTGGGAGATTCTGTTCATCGCTGCCGTCGCTGCCTGTGTGGGATGCATTTTTTATGTCTGATTAAACCTTTTCTTGAGCTAGCGTGTCGGTAAATTAATTTGCCTGGGTTGTTACATGTGCTTAAGGTTGCATCAGTAATGAATATGTCCTTTGCAGAGACGCCTCTTGTCCCTTGGACATCACAATCTGCCTTTGCGGAATAGATGGGATTGCTTCTGATCAAAATTGTCCAACTCACACAGCATGTCAGCTCGTTCCTTGAAAGGTCTTTCTCAGGAACCCCTGATTCGGTTCCAAGTATGCCACTCATCAAAGGGGTTGAAGTGGTCAGCACGCATGACGTCTGAATATTCCGACTCCATGCTCGAACTTGGGACGAAACCCTTCTGGACTTCTCCTTGAATGCCTCGTATAAAAGTCTAGGTCTGTCAGCTGAGAGTGGTCCGCAATCTGGGCTGTGATTGATTCCAAATTCATGCCAGCGTTGGACTGACAGAATCAGTGTATGCGGGGATCAAGTCAACGAGATTAGGAACAGCCGCTTGCCCATCTTTCCAGTATACTTCAAACACACTTAAACCTTAAGGGCTCTACATTGAGCGCTATGTAGATATAAATTTGACATCTTATTCTTAGGTGATATATAAATACGTAGAAGGCATATCTATTGCTCTTCAACTACTGCTATCATATCTCTGATCTATGGCAGAACCTCTCCTCATCTGTGGTGATGTTGCAGACTAAAGTTTCCCAGAAGTATCCAACGATTCCGCCGAGCAAAACACCTGTGACTTCAGCTGCGCTAATGATACCTATGGACAAAAGTGCATGCGACTCGCCGGGAACCTTCCTCAGAGCAGTGTCAAAAACCTCCACATACACTGCGCCTCCTAGCAATCCGGAACACAATGCAACCCCAAGCACTACCCAGCTATTACCGAGGAAGAAGACGGAGTCTGCTACTAACAACGCGACCGTCCAAGCCAGCAGAATCAACACAACTCTATGGCTTCCGAGACGAAGCGATATTGATGATAGCCGCGCTGTCAAGTTTCCTAAGTGGAGCGCAAGAGCAAGCGCAGAGGTCCACGACAGGAGCGAGGAGAACGAAGACCCATCAAGGGCAAGAGCTGATCCGGGGGAAACCAAGGCTTGAGCGACAGCGACTAGAAATAAAATGGGAGCAGCCTGACTCAAGAGAGCCAGCATTGCTCTCGATTTGCGTTTGACTTTACCCAAACCTTTATGCTGCACAGTTGGGACATTGCCCATAAGCGATGTCCTCACATCGTAGCCTCCCGCAGCTGCTTTGTCCATGCTCAGCTCCCCTTGACTGACAATGGGCGAGCTTTGCGGCAATATCATGAAGTAGGCCAACACCATTATGACGATGAGGTGGTGTATGTATCGGGCCCCTTCCCGTAGTGTCATGCCCGCATAAGATGTCAACACCAAAGGCCAAGTCGCATTGGCTATATGACCGAGACTCGTGCCCACAGCCCAGGCGATAAGACCTATCCGCCCGTATTGTTGGATCAAATCCAAACAAAAGATTTCAGTTGTGGCTGAGGAGACGGCGGCCAAAACCGTTGTGAAGATGCGGACCGGAGGCAGTACGTTCGGGGGAGTGGCAGACACGACGATCTTGATGATCAGCCACGTTGCGGTGATGAGAAGAAGGCGAATATTGCGTGGGATGCGTTCGATGACAAATGGAAGGAGTATCTTGGCAATGGCAGACGGGCAGTTCTCGAGTAGAAGAACTACTGGTTGTGAATACGGAATGATAAGATAGTTGGCCGCACAGCTGATCCGAAGGAGAACCGCATTCGAGACGCCTGTGAAGATGTCAGTCAGCACCGTCAGGAATTACAAAATCCACCATCAGAACCAAGGAAGGACGTACCTATCAGCGCAAAAGCCAGAAATGTTCGCGAAACATATTGATCGAGGTCGGGCGTGTTGACGTTGCTCCAACCCATTCTTGAAGTCATCTTCATATGTAGCAAGCTTGCCTAAACTAAGTGATGAGAAGAGGCCACGAGAAAAGAACCAAGTCGTGAGTGGGAGCAGTGTCTGAGGCCTGGAAAATGATTGTTAGAATGGTCAAGAGGCAGCCCTATTCTGCCAAGGGCGGAGTAGTGGCCTAAGACGGCCAAACATTCTGTTTACCCACAGAAGGACAGCGGAGCACCAACAGAAGCGAAATGACGAGAAATTTCCAACCTGTTTACCTAAGCCCCGCAACAGGCGGCCGGGATGAGAACGTCAGAACATTTAGTCACGGACTGCAAACCGCTCCCTCGGTTCCAGGCGGGTCCAAAGTCGCCAAGCAACCTTTTCCCCGAGTACGAGCTAGCTACAGGAACCACGGGACGAGCCTGCCAGACGGGCAGCCAAACCCCAACTCAATTTTAGTCATTGCCTTACGTCACTTCCCAAGAGTATGTGGTTATCTCTGTATAAGTTCTGTAACGGGTTGACCGCACACTACGGACACTCCAACACGGTAATTTAAGGATCGGCTTCGAATTTGTGCTCTGCTAACATTCCAAACAGAACCTTATTTCCATGACACATCTACTTTCTAAGAACACACGTCGAAGAGCATCAGTGCTGGCCCATTTCATCTGGAGCGAAAGGGGTTCACTGGGTATCTATTGGGATACTGCACCTTTAGCCGACGGCGCGAGATGGCACTGCCAAAGATTGCGAGACGGTCTAAGGCAGCGCTGGTTATTTTTGTTGGTCTGACAAGTCTGATCTTTCTGGTAAGACATTACGACGGCCGGAAATGTGCCGGCAATCCCTTGTCGTTCCATTACCATCCGGTTTCTCTTGCCTGCGTACTGATATTGCCCATTCACAGCTCAACCAAGCACACAGCGTCTGGCCAAGAGACTCCGACGATAGCTGGGACCTCCATGAGAAGCTCAAAGTGCTCAACATATCGACCTTTGGGGAATCACCCAGTGGTCACCGACGTCTGCGCTTGTTCATGCCCGCTGATGGGCCAAGCATAAACCTCTGTAAGGTCGTGCATTCTGCAGTGGCCCTAGGGTACCCAATGCCTACCATTTTGAACTGGAACGGAGAGTTTAACAGACCAGATTGGCACTTTTCAGGCTCCCATATCGCCAAGCTTGAGTCCCTTCTCGTCGCTCTTGATGAGCTCTCTGAAGGAAGGCCTGACGCTGACAAGGACGTGGCGCTTCTGGTAGACGCCTACGACATATGGTTTCAACTGCCCCCTTCGGCCTTGCTAGAAAGGTTTCACAAAGCCAACTTGAAATCGGATGCGAGGGTTCGGCAACTATGGGCGGATTCCGGCTACGATCCGCAGTTCCCTGTCGCCCCGCCACAGCAAAACATCATCATCACCACCGCCAAGGACTGCCAACCAGGCGCGGAGTCCGGCTCTCATCCCAACTATCCTTACTGGCCAGACTCACCCCTACCGGACGACTTTTTCGGGAAAGACACCGACAAGATTGACTCCTACGCGGACTCTGCAAGGAGATATAGGAAGGTTCGACCGAGGTG